CCCAACCCCAACCCCAAACCCAAACCCGAAACCATCACCACCACTATCGGACGATTCCACCGCACACACCCAATGTCGGCACCATTGCCATCTCCTCCACCTCCTCAATTTCCACCTTCATTCTCATCATCTAACAAATTTTTCTTTGCCAAATCTTCCACATGTGGAGTCCCAATTGCAGGCCCTGGTCAGTCACTAAAATACAAATTTGTAAGGGGATCCTAGCAAAAGATAGTTGTAGCAAAATAGATAAACTCAAAGAATAAGATACACAATGTAATTATTTATTGAAATTGCAGCAAAAAATTTAAAAGATAAAATAAAGAATTACCTCAGTACTCAAATGTCGCGACAGCGAGGCTGGAGCTGCAAGATGCCTAGAAAGAAACTTTAAGTCAGCACCAGCGGTCTTTGGTCCGAAATAAATTGACGACGGGTTTGGGTTTTGTCCGTTCTAATGGCCTGTCTGGATGGGCTGAAAAACTGGATTAAAATTACTTTTATGACCGTTAAAAGGAGCAACGGTTACATTTCCACAGATTGCGGCTGCCCTTGGTGAGAAACGGTCATAAACCAACGGCTGAAAAATCAATTTTCAAAATGTGAAAAGCCCTCCCAAACAGGGTGTAAATCTGCTGTGGTGATTATTTTGATTTTGATTTTTCTAATTGGCAAATAAAATGCTACGCATTCAGGCTGATCCCGTGTTGTGTCTGCAAAAAGAAACTTGGCCAACAATATTACCAGAGAAAGGATTGTCGGCTCCACTTCCATCACCCCCGTCGCCACCTTCGTCCGGTAGTGGTGGTGATGGCTTTAGGGTGGGAGTGCATGGAGAAGAAGACGTTGATTTTTGATTTCTAGTTTAATTATTTAATTTTAGTTATTTTATTATAAAAAATGAAAAGTTACTATTTTAACATTTTAAAATTAGTCAAAATTATTGTCAATGTCAATTATCTGGTCAACTAACAGTTAAACTAATATAAATCATCTATTTGGACCATATGTGCTAATTTTTGAAAGGTTTGGTAACGTGAGTAACACAAATGAAAGATTTGGATAAAATATACTACTAAATGAAAGGTTTGGTACCGCTATTGCAATTTTCCCTAAAAATTATATGAAGATGAGCCATTATCTTACACAATTGATTAAAAATTAGTCAAAGTCAAATCTTGTGCCTGCTGAAGTCATTCTTCGACCTTGCGATATCGTTGAAAAATGGGTTTTGAGAAGTTGCAAACTTGGCCAATTTGATCAAAATGGAGAACTTGTCAACATCAAACTCAAACATCCAATAAAGGCCCAGAACCAGGAACTCAAA